ACTTCCCTAGTGCTGCCTGAAGACTCCCCCATCTCTGGAGGGGTGGCTGCTCTGTTAAGTTCTAGGGGGTAGCCCTATGAGGCTGAATTCCTCAACTGTCACTGATGAGCCCCCAGCTGTGTGCTTCCCATTAATAGCCACTAATGCCATCCTTATGGGAATGTGCATAATGCCACTGATGAAGTAATTCCTCATGTGGAAGAGTCCAGGAAAGCCTGCTTCTAGGAGAGTCATGCTGACATGTAATGGGAATGCCTGGTTAGACTATAGCACAAATACAGATGTTCTATAACTGATCCCAGTCTGCTAAACATGTAGTGAGAAGGTGGCTTTGACTGACTAGGATGCGTTCAAAAGGACCTTGACTTCTCTCTGTTTGTCTGTCTCTCTCTCATTAACAAAATTTGTGTATCTCTTTGTTTATCCATTTTTGTCCTGAGCTGATAGCATCTGGTGAGAGATAATGCTGACATAAGGGCCTCTGGGGCCAACATGTGGCCTTCTGAATATAGCCTAACCCTAACCCTAACCCTAATGCATCAGCCACTGTGCTAAGTGCTTCACAATTATTATCTCATTTGATCGTGTCAACCCTGTGCAGTAGATGCTATTATTATCCCCATTTTATAAATGAGGTAACTAAAGCAAAGTGAGGTTAAGTGACTTGCCCTGAGTCACACAGCTAAGAAGTACCTGAGGTCCGATTTGAACTCAGGTCTTCCTGACTCCAGGCCCAGTGCTCTCTGCACTATGGCACTACCTAGCTGCCTTGAGGACTGTGAACATAGTCCTTGGTTCTTGACCTCAGCACTTACTCTTTCATTTTAGGTGAAAGAGATCAGTCCAGGGCTCTGAAGTTGCTTAGTTTTGAAAGGTCAGGAGAAGGAGCCTAGCAATTGAGTCCAGTCTGGGTTTTGCCACCAGCCCAACATGGATGCCCTGAGGAATGAGGAACAACCTTTAAGACCCAACCTGTTGGTAGCTGAGATGAGCTTCATCTGGCCATCAAGGCACATCTGGGTGGAACTTAATGGGAGCAAGGCTGTGCACAAATTGTGTTAGGTCTGGACCCATTGTCCCTAGAGACCCCTGTGACCCCAGGTGATGAGGGGGAGAGGAAAATGTTTATATTTCTGTTCTTGCTAGATCTTCAAAGTAAATGTCACTTTGGAAAGGCTAATTGATGTTAATTGATTAAATGGAATCAGGGTGCTAATTACTGGCAGCTAAAGGGGCAGAGGCAGAGAGAAGCAGCTGGAGCTGATGGCAGTGGAAAAAGATGCTCCATCCCCCAGGGTATCCTTAGAACCCCGAGGGAGCAATGTAGCCAGCCTGGGTCAGTGAGAGTGAGGCCAGAGACACTGCATTAGCTCTAAGCACAAGTGTTTACTCAAAAGATATAGCAAGAACAATACAGGTACAAAACATTCCCCTGTATAGCCCCCCACAAATGCATATGGTGTCCATGGGAAGAGTGGCCTTATGCTCAGAGTACAGTGGTCCGGGGCACAAATTCAGGAGACATCTATGGCAAAGGCAGCTCGTAACTCCTCAGACTATAGGCTCTGGCAGTCCTTTCTCTCTTGGTAGAGTTCCCATGCTGGATTCTTAAGCTCTGTTCATCCCCTAACATGACTCTCACTTGCCAGGGCAGCTCCTTGAAACTGCTTTTTGCTTTGGCTGACTGTTTCTCTACATCCATCTGGAATGTGTGCCTTGGCTCCCCAGTGGATGAAATATTTGCTACTGGTCCAATGTTGCCCCTTCAAAGCTACCTGGCTGATGTGAAGGGCGAAGAGGAGAGAGGGAAAAGGGCTTAATAGCGTCTCTACTCTCTGACTAATGCTGGTTTTATGGGCAGGTAGGTGACACAATAGATGGAGTGTCAAGTCTGAAGTCAGAAAGACTCTTCTTTGTGAGTTCAAATCTGGCCTCTGATCCTTACTAGCTGTGTGATGCTGGGCAAGTCATTTTACCCTGTTTGCCTCAGTTTCCTCATCTGTAAAATGAGCTAGAGAAGGAAATGGAAACCACTCCAGCATCTTTGCCAGAAAACCGCAAATGGGGTCATGGAGAGTCAGACAGGACTGAAAAATGACTCAACAACAAAGCAACCCTCAGTGTTAAATTGATTTATTAACACTTTATGATTGGATCCTCAGCCTTTTTTGACTACATCAACTAAAATAGAATGGGGAATTCCTTCTCATACATGCACGCATTATTGTCTCCTCTGATAGAATGTAGAGTCCTCGATGCAAAAGATTGTTTCATTTTTGTCTGTATCCTTAGTGCCAAGCAAAGTGCCTGGCACGTAGTAGGTGCTTAATGAATGTGTATTAGTTCTGCCAACCTTCAGCCCCCTTGTTTCCCAGCTGATTTTGAACTAATCCTGAATAAACTGCTTACTATTACGATTTGCAATTTTCCTAGAGTGGGGGTGACAATCTTTGTAACCCAAAGAAATTAATCTCTAATGATGAAGTTTTATAACTTGTAATAGACAAAAAAATCCTTATTGGGGACATTATTCCCATGCAAATGACAATTCTTTTTAGCAACAAGTGAATTTAATAACAGAAATTATAATATGGTTTCAGATGCTGGCGATTCTTATAGGAGATTTTACTTCAAAGGAGATAACTATCTCTAAGGTACGGAATTTTAATATTTTTGGTGTCATGGGCACCTTTGGCAATCTGGTGAAACCTGTGGACCCCACCTCAGAATAATGTTTTTAAAATGCATAAAATAAAATAGAGGACTACAAAGGAATCCAATTCTATTGCAACACAGTTACAAAAAATGTTTTTTAAAATCCAAGTTCAGAGACCCCCAGGTTAAAAGCCTCTGCTCTAAGGTAGGATTTGGGAAGGCGTCTCCTAATGTGAGCGCAGGAATCAATATAAATTTAATTTGATTTCTTGGGCGCCCTCTGGTGGTCATTACTTACTTACCTGTAATTTATATTTATCAATTACCAATTATTATATATAATATATACATATAAATTACATATAAATATGTAAAATTATATGTGTATATACAATGTAAATTACCAATAATTTATAAACCAAAATTTACCTAGGAGAGAGCAGGTTCAGAGAGATAAATGGTGGGGTCAGAATCCAAGTCACAATCTCTCTGAGCCTCAGTTTCCCTATGTGGAAAATGGTCTTAATAGTACTTAATACTTAATAGTACTTCCAACTTCTATCTCACAGGGTTACTCTAGAGACAATGCTGCTTAAAACTTTGACTCTGCCTTTGGGTCCATCCAGCTGTGATAGGTGAGCTTGTAAAAATAAAAATAATTTTAAAAGACTTTATTAAGGTGCCTAGGTGAAAACAATGTGCAAGTCTGGAGGGCTGGGTCTCTGACCAAGTACAAAGAAATGCATATACATCTCTGACTGAGTCTACATCCCACTTTTCCCTCCCTCTTCAAGATCCCACCACTGCTCTCCACAGCCCTGCCTCCTCTCCCAGATGACTTCACTTCCAACTTTATCAAAAGAAGAGATGTCGAGAGTTCTCTCATTTTTCTTCCTCTTCACCTCAAAACCTTTGTGTGTCCTTCACTCTCCTTCTCTTCTTTGATTTGATCTCAGAGGATGAGCTGGCCCTCCTCCTCCCCAGGTCTAACCAGTCCGCTTAAGGCTTTGATCTCTTCTGCTCTCAGAGCTTGATCCTTTGATTATTCTCTCTTTCATCTTTAGCCCCTTCCTCTTTCAGGGCTCCTTCTCTATTACCTATTACCTGGCTCAGGGCTCCAGCTGTGTGATCTCATAGTCGTGATCCAGTGGGGCAGGTTGCAACCCATTCATTATGGACCCTTCACATTAAACTTGCGCCTGTGTTTTCCAATAAATCCACCACAGCGGGGTTCACCCAAGGTGCTGGGGCTCAAGGCTCTGCCTCCTGACTTTTTTAAAAGCACCATTCTTCAATGCTGCCATCCTCTCAAATTACTGTCCAATATCTCTCATTCTGTTCACAGCTAAACTTGTTGAAAATAAAACCTCCACTTATACTTGTTCACCTCATCACTGCCCAGTCATTCCTTTGTCCCTATGGCTTCTGACCACACCACTCTACAATCATCAAGCCTTTAATGCCAATTGCATGCCAGGTGATGGACAGCTAGGTGGCACAGTGGACAGAGCGCTACACTTGGAATCAGGAAGATTCAGCCTCTTGGGTTCAAATCTGGCCTCAGATGCTGTGTGATCCTGGGCAAGGCATGTAACTCTACCTCAGTGTCCTCATCTGTAAAATGAGCTATAGAAGGAAATTGTAAACCATTTCAGTTTCTTTGCCAGGAAAATCCCAAATGGGGCCACAAAGAGTCAGATGCAACTGAAAGGATTCAACAACAACAGTAACAATGAACACCAGGTACTCGATACAAAAACAAGAATGAAACAATCCTTCCAGGTATTTACAGTCTGCCAAAGGGAGCTAACATGTTTATATCTAGGTAAATGCAAAATAGATTCAAGATAATTTGGAGTGTAGCATCCCACCTAGGTGGGCTTGGGCTAGCCCAGTGACACTTGAGATGGCTAGGAGACTCCTGATTGACTGGGAGACCTCTGAACCCATGATCACGTGTGTAAGGAGACAGAGAAAGACAAAGAGGGATGTATAGACAGGGAGAAGGGGAAAGATGGGGAAAGGGAAGAGAGACTTTGAATGGAGGATGGAGGTCCCCAAGACTCAGGTATGTGGGGATGAGTCAACATGAAGGTCAAGACCCAAGAAATTAGCAAACAAAAAAAAAAGGTATTTGAGCAGCAAATATAAAGCGTCTCATTGGGAGTCTGAGAACCAGGTTTCCAGTCGCACCTCTGTCTCATATGTGGCCCTGAATGAGTCACTTCTTTCTCTGGGCCTCAGTTTCCTCATCTGTAAAATGATGGGGTTGGACCAGATGGCCTTTCTATCTATGATCCTATGATCCCTTTGGACCCCTCAATTGATAAACAACAACTAAACACTTAAGTTGTTTAGAAAATAGTTTATTATACCTGGCCAGACTGAGGTTGTGACAGTATACGGCAAGGTTAATAAGGAGAGTAGGCGGGGAGACTTCTGCTCTGCAAGTATTGCCAGGTTGGTTGGCATCAGCTCAGTAGGAGCTACAGGTCTCCTCAGGGTGGATGTACAGTCTGCATTGGCCTCCTCCCTCAGGCTCTCTGGAATCTCTGTTTGCATACGTGGCCTTCGCAGAACATTTCCTGGAGGCAGACGCAGAAGGGAAGAAGGGGTTTGGGGGAGGGAAGAAAAAAGGCTGAGATCAGCACTTCTAACACGATCTCTTCCCTGAGATCTTAGAAGGATTAATTACCAGCTCACCAAGCTGGGCCACAATCCAAGGTGCCATAGGCTTTAGACAGGAGCTCTGTGGGGTCTGAGCAAAACATATTGCAAGGTATATCTCACCTACCGTTAAGTGGTTCTGCAATGAATAGGTGAAAGCTTCAATAGCAGTGAAGATCCTTTGGGCCCATCACAGGTTTGCATAACAGGATTTTATGACTTTAGAGTTTGGAGACCAAATACTATTGTTGTTTTTGTTTTTTAGGGCTGGAGGAGGTAATCAAAGATATTTCTAAAGCATGAGATTAGTGTAACCTAGCACAGCGCCTTGCACATGGTAGGAGCTTTAAAATGCTCATTATCGGTTGAGCTACAGTAGCAGGCCCACATGAGAGCAGGAAGATTCCTACAGAGACATAATAACAGAGACAGAAGTAGCCTCAGAATCAGCAGGCCCTCTGCCCCATACTGGCTGTGTGACCCTGGGCAAATGGATCAACGTCTCAGGGCCTCAGGCATCTCTGTAAGACTTTTAGAATTGCTGCTCTCCTTTGATGGAGGGAGTGACACCCTCCTCACTGGGAGCTCCTCATATTAATGAAATCCCAATAAAAAGTTGTTGGCCTATGGTCCTGCCTCCAGAAGGCTGAAGGTGAGACTCATGCCCTGCCCCCACAGGGGGGTAGGACTATGGGTACAGAATGAGGCCTACATGGTCAATCTGCTAGTTTCTTTTGCTTAAAGATAATTCTGTGTTATAGGGGAAAGGTCTATGGGGCAAAGGGAAAAGTGAGGAAGAATATTAAGGAGTTGTGATGTAAATAAAAATAGCAAATGCAACAGTGAACACAGTATTTGGTCTGCTGCTGCATGCTGTATTTGGGTAGGTTGTTCTTTCTTTTTTTGGGGCGGGGTGTTGTTTTTTGCCTCAAGGTGAGGAAAGGTTGCAGTCCTGCCTCTGACTCACACGGGGCAAGTCACTTCACTTTGGGAGGCCCAGGCAAACCTCTAAGTAGGTGCTTCCCAAAATTTTTGGTTGGAGGTAGGGAGGAAAAAGTAGTGTTTATATAACACTTGTTATGTGTTAAGGAGGCTGCTAGGTGGCGCCATAGTGCACAGCGTGCTGGGCTTGGAATCTGGAAGGCTCATCTTGAATTCAAACCTGACCTCAGACACTCACTAGCTGTGTGCCCCTGGGCAAGTCACTTCACCCTGTTTGTCTCAGTTTCCTCATCTGTAAAATGAGTTGGAGAAGGAAATGGCAAACCGCTCTAGGATCCTTGCCAAGAAAACCCCAAATGGAGTCACAAAAAGTCAGACACAACTGAAATGACTGAATAACAAATATGACAAGCATTCTGCTAAGCACTTTATAAATATTATTTCATCTAAGCCTCACAACCCTGAAAGGTAAGTCCTGTTATCATCTCTATTTTGCAATCGAGGAAATGGAAGCAAGCAGAGGTTAAGTGACTTGCCCAGGGTAACCCAGCTAGTCAGTATCTGAGGTCAAATTTGAACTTGGGACTTTTCCGACTCTAGCCACACTACCATCTAACAGTCTGTAGCTGTTTCACTATCACTTTCCACTCTTAAAAACTGAGGACCCCCCCCCAAAGAGCTTTTCTCTATGTGGGTATATCTATGGATATTTACCATATTAGAAATCAAAGTTTCTTATTATTGTGAAAATAGTTTTGACCTGCTGGAGCCCTTGAAAGACTCCCAGGGATGGACCACACTTTGAGAGCTATTGCTCAAGTGTTGCTGATCCCCGACGCTGACACTCGTACCAGAGGCAGGGACTAGCCCATAACTCCTCAAGGGCAGGGGTTGTTTGTTTGGATCTGCGGTGTCCCAAAGAGCATCAGGCAAACACTAGGCACTTAATATGTGCACATTGATTAATGATTATGATTTAATTGATTAAACCATGAGTTTTCTTAGCAGGAATTTCCTATTCCAATGAAATCACTGGTTGGGAGGGGGAAAAGAAAGGATATGGAAGGGGTAGAGAGAAACTAGAAGTAACCATCTTGCAATTTAGGTTAAAGTTTTTCATTCTGTTTTCACATAGCCCATATAGCGATCTATCTTTATGGCAGGGATTTTTGACAGCGTGTGTGTGTGTGTGTGTGTGTGTGTGTGTGTGTGAACCCTCTGGCAATCAATCTGGTGAAACCTATAGACCCCTTCTCAGAATCATGTTTTTAAATTCATAAAAGACAGGATTGTGGTGCAGTGTTAGAGCACTGGCCCTGGAGTTAAGGAGGACTTGAATTCAAATCCAGCCTTGGACGTTTTCTAGCTGTGTGACTTAACCCCAACTGCCTCCAAAAAAAGAAAAAAAAAAGACATAGGATTACAAAAGAAACCAAAAGGTGGTGAAAATAACTGTGATTTTTCCCATCCAAATTGTTGAGCCCCCTGAAATCTATCCACAACCCCAGGGAGACAGGGGACGGTCCATGGACCTCAGCTTGAGTAGGTCTGTCTTCCAGCAAAAGGAAACGTAATTCACAAATACCAGGTGTAATTCGTCCCCATCAATCCAGTGGGTCCAGCCTCGGTTCATCTTTTCCCCCTTCTGGACACAGGTGAGTCTATCATTGTCCCATGTGACCAAACTCTGTAGGAAAAGAGAGGGTGAGGTTTGGTCTGGGGGGCATGCTTCTGGGCCAAACAGCTCTTGAGTATCAGATAGCAGTGATTTTTCCGTTCTTACCTTGCATTTTCTGTTATCTAGGCCTTTGGTATCCTCATCAAATTCTTCTCCAACTTTAAACTGGACAAGGTAGTTCCGGAAGGTGCTGAGCGTACGGATAGTGAAGTTGTCGCCATTTTGTCTGATCACTTTCTGTGGCTTCACCATCTTCGCTATCTTCCGTGTGGCGAAGTCAATGCCTTGAAAATAAATGAAGAAAAATCTCAATCGCCAATTTTAGCTGATTTGAAGGCAGGTAATAATTTGGCAGCTGACTCAAAAACATTCTAGGCTGTTCACCTCCAAGAGGGTCAGGGCAATTTGTTGCCAATACCAGATACTTGTGGAAAGTTTCAGGTCTCACCTCTGTCAAGAGATCATCTAGTTAAAATGGTTTTTACATGTAACTGGGGAAAAATAAAATATTAAATTAAAAAAGAGGTCATCTGAGGGAAAGCAAGTGAGAATAGATGGATAAAGAATTCTGAAGAGGCTAAAGAGCAGGGGTACTTCATCTTTTTTCACATCCCAGGCCCCTTGGGTAGTCTGGTGAAACCCATGGACCCCTCAGAATCTTGTTCCTAAATGCACAGAATAAAATGACAGTGTGTCTTAAAAGTCTTGGTGCAGCTTGCACTAAGACTTTTGGAATACCTTGTATACAGGATTACAAAGGAAGTCAATTCTATAGAAATATAGTTGTCAAAATATTTTTAAAACAATCTCATGGACCCCAGGTTAAGGACTTCAGCCACAGAGGAGGAGCTCAGGATATGTTTTGAATATAGCAGATCACAGGGGACAGTGTTTCTGGCGGACAGAAGAATCTGGCATTTCCCCTACCAGATCTCTGGAAACCAGGAAGCTATGATTACATTTTGAGAAGACACTTTCTCCTATCATCACCACCATCGTTATCACCATCATCATCTCCACTGCTACCACCACAGACATCGCCATCATCAGTCATCATCATCACCAGGTCTAGCATTAATACAGCACTTCAAGGCTTCTGGAGCACTTTCCATATGTTAACTCATTCTCATTTGGAAGGACAGAGAGAACAGACATCTCCTGAGATATGAGCAACATCCCTGGCTTTTGCTGTTTGTCTTAACTTATTAATATAAATTCACTCAGTAATTTTTATTGATTTTTGTTTTCACATCTGGGCTGGAGTTTCATTTTGGGATTTCTTTCAGGAGATGATCAGTGGATTCTTTCAATTTCTATTTTATTGTCTGGTTCTAGAATATCAGGGCAGTTTTCCTTGATAATTTCTTGAAACATGATGTCTAGGGTCTTTTTTTGATCATGGCTTTCAGGTGGTCCAATAATTTTTAAATTATCTCTCCAGGATCAATTTTCCGGGTCAGTTGTTTTTCTAATGAGACATTTCATGTTATCTTCTATTTTTTTTATTCTTTTAGTTTTGTTTATAGTTTCTTGATGTTTCATAAAATCATTAGCTTCCACTTGCTCAATTCTAATTTTTAAGGAATTATTATTATTATTGCTTTTTTTGTGAGGCAATCGAGGTTAAGTGACTTGCCCAGGGTCACACAGCTAGGAAGTGTCAAGTGTCTGAGGCTGGATTTGAACTCAGGTCCTCCTGACTCCAGGGTTGGTACTCTATCCATTGTGCCACCTAGCCACCCTGAGGAATTTTTTTTTCTTTTGTTCTTCTTCTTCCTTTTTTCTTTTTTTTTGGCTAGGCAATGGGGTTAAGTGACTTGCCCAGAGTCACACAGCCAGTAATTGTGAAGTGTCTAAAGTCAAATTTGAATTCAGGTTCTCCTGACTCCAAGGCCAGAGCTCTGTCTACTGTGCCACCTAGCTGCCCTGGAATTATTTTCTTTAGTGAGGTTTTATACACCCTTTTCCATTTAGCCAATTCTATTTTTTGATGAGTTCTTCTCTTCAGTGAATTTTTGTCTATCTTTTTGCATTTGGCCAATTCTGCTTTTCAAGGCATTCTTTTCCTTACTGGATTTTTGTACCTCTTTTGCCATTTGGCCTAGTCTCTTTTTTAAGGTGTTATTTTCTTCAGTATTTTTTTGTGCCTCCTTCACCTAAAGACTTTTTTTTCATGATTTTCTTGCATCACTCTCATTTCTCTTCCCAATTTTTCCTCTACTTCTCTTACCTGATTTAAAAAATCCTTTTTGAGCTCTTCCATGGTCTGGGACCAATTCATATTCTCCTTTGAGGCTTTAAATGTAGGAGTTTGGGCTTTGCTGTCTTCTGAGTGCGTGTTTTGATCTTCCTTGACACCATAGTAACTTTCTATAGTCAAATTTTTTTCCTGGTATTTGCTCATTTTTTCAGCCTATTTCTTGCCTTTTAACTCTTTGCTAAAGTGGGACTCTGCTTCCAGGGTGGAGGGGGCACTGAGACAAGCTTTAGGGGTTTTGTGCAGCTATTTTCAGAGCTAGTTCTGGGGATCTGTAAATTTTCTGTCCTTCCAAGGTGGTATGATCTAAGGAGAGGTGTGTTTACTACTCTCCTGGCCTGTGCTCTGGTTTGTGAGTGACCAGATGCACTCTTCTTCCCTGGAACTGTGAGGAGGATCTTTGCTCCCCTGCAGCAGCAAGCTCTGGTGCGCTAGTGCTCCTCCTTGCCCTGGGACTACCACCCAGGACTCTGACCCAGATCTGAGCATGGGCAAAGCAATAGAGTCCTGCCTCAGGGGTAGCAAAAAGCCCCCTGTAATCTCCTGTTGTTTTTTTTTTTAAAGGCAGTTGGGTTTAAGTGACTTGCCCAGGGTCACACAGCTAATAAGTGTGAAGTGTTTGGTTTGAGGCTGGATTTGAACTCAGTCTCTTGACTTCAGGGCCAGTGCTCTATCCACTGTGCCACCTAGCTGCCCCTTGTAATCTCCTTCTAACCAACTGTTCAACCCCCTTACCATCTGTGGACTGAGAGCTCTGGAAGCAGCTGTTGGCACTGCTGATTCAGTCACTCCCAAGGCCTGCTCCTGGTTTGGTGGGGCCTGGTCTGCACTGGCGTGGCCTGTGCTAGACTGTGCTCCACTCTCATTGGAGTGTGATAGACCTTTCCTGCTGACTGTCTAAGCTGTCTTGGTCTGGAAAATTGTTTTACCTCCATCTTTTGTGGGTTCTGCCTCTCCAAGAATTGTTTGATGGCATTATTTAAAGGTGTTCATAGGGGTTTGGGGGAAAGTTCAGGCTAGTCTCTGCTTTTTCTCAGCCATCTTGGCTCAAACCCCTACCCCCCCCCCAACACACACCCCTTAACATTTTTAAAAATTTTGAGTTCCAACTTCTCTTTCTCCCTCTAACCCCTCCTCACCCATTGAGAATGCAAGCAATATGGTATCAATTATACATGTTAAGTCCCATATATGTGTATGGAGATACATATTTTTATATATATACCCCCATCAATATATAAAAACAATATACATATACATACATCAATATGTATACAACAACACACATATGTGGGGGAGAGATATATTTGGAAATTAAGGTGCTATAAAATATACATATATGTATATATACTCACACATATATATACATATTTCCCTTAGTACAGTGCCTAGCACATAGTAAGAGCTTAATAAATGCTTCTTGCCTTGCCCCCTTCTCCTACTTAGCAAGGTATGTCTTATAACAAAGATTTTTTGAAAGAGAAAAAAAAAATTCAGAACCTCTCCCCCCCCACATACCAGCCAAATCTATATACTTTTTAAATATACTTAAATCTTTTTTCAAAGCATGAAGCAGTTTTCTCATAGGTATGCAATAAAGGACATAAATCTGTTAAAATATAACTTAAGGTGCCATCCAGTTTTGTTCCATTGGCTTTCTTCAGCTGTTAGCAATGATGCTACTTTAATTAGCTACTTCTGGCCCCTAGGTGGCACGGTAGACCTGTTAGGTGGATGACAGGACCATCCAGGTGTTGAGCCTAGGAGCATACGGCCCAGGCAGTGATCTGTATTAGTCTGGCCTCACCAGCTAGACTGTAAGCTTTGATCTAATGGAGACCAGCTATTCACGCAGGTGTTAGTCCAGAATTTACCAGTTTGGTGATGCTTGTTTGCACTTGGCTCTTATGGAACACTTACGGAAAGAGTGGGAAGAAAAATCATCCATTTTGCATCATGTGGGACTAAAGTGCAATGCGCAGGATTGAGCTGCATCCTCCAGGATTCTGGCGGCACTTTGAAACAATGGGATGCTTGTAACCAGCCCTACTGTGCTTCTTGCTTAGTTTGAGGAATGAGAGACAAACAGGGGTCTGATCTCCTCCATCTGCAGTCAAAGCTGCCAGTCCTTTTGTTATTCTATTTACCTTTGGATTGGGTTTACCCACCACCATCCCTCACTTTGTCATCTGTGTCTTATGTTCAATTACAACCAAGAAAAATCTAGTGGTTGCCAAATCCTCATTTGGTATGATTTATAATGGCGGCTCACAAGTATGCAGGAAGAGGTTTTAATTCCTTTAGAGAGATGGGAAACACATTCCTGCACTCCTGAGCTAAGGTGCTGAGGGTTGGGAGTGGGTAGTAATGGACGTGGAATCCATATGCAAGTCCCACAAACAACGGAGGGTCAGTAATATCATGCCTGTAGGCAAGAGAATAAGTATTCATATAGTGCCTACTATATGCCAGGCACTGTGCTAAGTGGTTTTTTTTTTTTCGTTTGTTTTTGCAAATATTATTTCATTTGATCCTTGAGAGAACCCTGGGAGCTATTATTATTCCCATTTTATGGCTGAGCAAAATGAGGCGGATAGAGGTTAAGTGACTTGCCCAGGGTCACCCAACTAGCAAGTGTCTGTGACTAGATTTGAATTCAGGTCTTCCTGACTCCAAGTCACACACATTCATGCACCCACCTACACTGTCCTATCTAATAACAGCACATGATTAAGTGGCATGAGTGGTGTGGACAGAAAGCACTCTTTTTAGGAGGTTAGAAGAAAGAAGGAGGTCACTATGGCTGAATGTGTTACAGTTCATAAGTAGGGACAGAAAAGGGTTGGTGGTATCATGGAATTCACGTAGGTAACAGCATGGCACAGTGGAGAGACTGCCAAACTGGAGTCAGGAAGATCTGGGTTCAAGTCCTGCCAGGATGCTGGGTACCCAGGAAGAAATCCCTTTAACACTCATTGAGGAATGGCTCACATGCATCAGTGGATGGAATATCCATTCTCTGCAAGCTGCTCACACCAATGAAATCATGGTCCTGGACCCAAAACCAGAGCACTAGTAGAGGTGCTGAAATCAGAATTAAGGAGCGATATTTGAGGGAATAGGGAAACAGAGCAGCCTGGCTCAGAAAGGGGGCCCTAAGTTAAATGAAATCAAAGAGCAAGACAAGGGAGCCTTGATGCTTTAAGGCTTGCAAATGACTTTAAAAGTATTTCATTCAATCCTCACAATAACCTTGGGAGGTAGGTGCTAGCATTATCCCCATTTTACAGATGAGAAAACTGAGGAGGAGAGCCAGGATCACTCAGGTCTTCCTGACTCCAGGTCCAGCACTCTGTGCGCTATGGCGCCACCTAGGTGCCACCTTAAAAGTTTGGCCAAAGAGTTTGGACTTGTTTCTGGAGTGATTAGGAAGTGGAAGTATTGACATAGGATCTCCAAAATACCACTTAAGAATTGATGTTTATGCCCAAAGAGATCAAACAAATGGGAAAAGGACCCACATGTACAAAAATATTTTGAGCAGCTCTTTTTGTGGTGGCAAAGAATTGGAAATTGAGAGGATGCCCATCAATTGGGGAATGGCTGAGCAAGTTGTAGTATATGAATGTAATGGAATACTATTGTGCTATAAGAAATGATGAACAGGCTGACTTCAGAAAAACCTGGAAAGACTTATATGGTCTGATGCTGAGTGAAGTGAGCAGAACCAAGAGGACTTTGTACACAATAACAGCCACGTTATGCAATGACTAAGATTGTTAAACTGAACCCTTCTCAGCATTACGAGGATCTAAGACATTTCCAGAGGCCTCGGGTTGGAAAATGCTGTTCACATCCAAAGAAAGAACTATGGAAGTCGAATCGCTCTCACTTATTTTTACCTTCTGTTGAGTTTTGTTTCATCTTTCTGATGGTTCTTCCTATTGGTTTTAATTTTTACTTACAACTTTACCAATGTGAAAATATGTTTAATGGGAATGTAAATGCAAAACCTATATCAGATTGTGCGCTGTCTTGGGGAGGGTGGAGGGGAGGAAAAGGGAGAAAAATTTTCAACTCAAAAGCATATGGAAAAAAAAAAGAACTGATGTTTATACATAGCACTTTGAAATTTGCAAACATTGCATTATTTTATTTGAGCCTCACTACATTTCAGTGAGGCAGATATAGCTGGTAGCTAATTATTTTCTTCATTTTACTGATGGAAAAACAAGAACTGACAAGTTAACCTGATTTTCCCAAGGTTACACAGCTATTAAGTGAGGCTGTCTAGGATATAAACCTAAGTCTTCCTGATTCCTGGTCCAGGGCTCTATCAACCAAGTGCATTGGGTATCAGAACATATCTACAAGCTGGGAAAGCTTTTGGAAGCATTCAAATACTTCTAATCATTACCTAGGTAGCCTAGTGGTGCAGTGGGTAGAGTGCTGGATCTGAAGTAAAATATACCCCATACACTTTCTAGCTATATGACCTTGGGCAAGTCACCTAGTTTTCTGCAGAAGCTTAGAAAAATAGCAGGGAGAATACAGGAGCCAGATTGTTTGCGCAGCAGGTAAATGACTCCCTATTCAAGAACTAAATCAATCTATTATAGAATTTGGATTTTTCCTTTGTCACCCACCTTGGTCTTAGAGACAACTCTTCCTCCTCTGCAGTTTACCAATAGGTATCACATAGCTGTGTTCTTAACCTGTGATGTATTTTATGCCATTATTTCTTAACAGCAAGCTTTGGTAGCCAAGCAAAACTAAAAATCTTCACCTGATTTTTAAAGCTTCACCATCTGTACAAAAAGCTAGGTGGGAGCCAGAAACTCCACAGGGAGGAGTACAATTTTAATAATGTCTCACATTTCATGTCAAAGAAAGCATAAAACCAAGACTCTCCCTGCCCTTGGAGAAATAAGTCTTAGCTTCATTTTTTAAAAAGGTCAGGGGAAGAAAGAGGAAATGAGATTAGGTATTAGCGAGTCCATCAGAACCAGGAAACCTTCGGCTTCCAGTTAGCTAAAGCATTTACGTTCATAGAGTGGGAGAAAAGGGTTTGTGACGGGAGTGGGAGGGGGAGGGGGACTCAATCCTTTTTGTATATTAATTCATCAGTTTTTTTAACAGCAGACAAAAACTAAATTAGGCTAAGCGTAGGAAAGATGTGGATTGACTATAGTAACAAGAGCGATGTGCTCATCCACATTTCATTTAGAAACTGATTCAAGAAGTTATTTGGGAAACTAACAAGTTGGTCAGAAGACTTGTGCCTTTCACAATCAGAAAGTAAATAAAATACCTTTTAAAAAGCTGTACCCTAAAGCAACATAATGACGAACTACACTATTTTAGAACCTGGATGATCCCACAGACTATAAACTTCTAGAAGGCAGGGACTTTCATTAATTTTTGGTCTCTCTTTGACCCAGAAACAGGTACAGTTTCTGATACAAAAAAGGGAGCTTAATAAAGGTTTGTTGGATTGGATTCAAGCTTGATTAAAAAGTCAGCTCCAGTATTTTCCTAAAGAGTCATCAAGAGAGGTAACTGTCAAAAACGGGAGGGGGGGAAAGGGGGGAGAAGAGGGAGTTGGATTCCAAGGGGGGTGTGTGTGTGTGTGTACTCTGACTCACTTAGGATCAGAGATTTAGAACTGAAAGAGTCCTCATAGGCCATCCTATCAAAATCCCACCTTTTTGTTAGATGACTTGCCTCAAGGTCAGATAAGTAATATGTAAGTGTCAGGGAGAAAATGTGAACCTAGAATCTCAGATTTTAGATCTAGGGCTCTTTCCATTGTAGCATAATGCAATCTCATCTATTTATCTAGAATCTAGGTTTTTATCTAGAATCTAGATTCTAGACGATAGATAAATAGATACTTCATCACAACCCGAACCTAGATCCTTTGTGAATGTTTTCCTAAGCCCTCCAGAAATTAGATAAGGGCCAAAGTACAGAAGATGTCAGGTCTGTTACTAGCCCAGAGCAAAGAAAGGCAGATTTCAAACAGTAGCATGGAAAAGGTCAGGAGAGTCAGAGGCCGCTCACCTGAGCTCTCCGTATGCCCTGGGTGGAAGCAGACCGGCTGGCACCCGAGTTGCTGCCTCCTTCATGGGCTACTTTCCCCTAGGCTAAGAGGACACATCGTTTGTTTAAGAGAAGACTGGGTCCTTTTCAGCTTTTAAAAACTCTAAGGGACTAAGCTCTCCTGTGCCCCCCACTAGGGAGAGGAAGAGAGAGACAGAGAGAAAGACAGAGAGAAACAGAGAGAGAGTGATTCGAGACAGAGACAGAGGGACAGACAGAAAGGAGACAGAGACAGAGAGACCAGAGGAGACAGAGACAGAGAGACAGAGGAGACAGAGGAGACAGAGAGAGAGACAGACAGATGAAAGAGGGAGAGAGAGAGAGAAAAAAGAAAGAGACAGAGACTGAGAGAGAGACAGAGAGACAAAGGGGAGGCTGGAACGAGATCATTCATCCCCTTACGCCCTAACGCTTGGCAAGGTTAGCGCCAGGACCAGAGGGTACGCCGAATGGGTTACGCAGCTGGGGACCAGCACTTCCAGAGTGCCTCCACTCCCACTTCGAGCACATCCCTCCCCCCACTCCCCTACCTAGAGCAAGCATGTAGTCCTCGAAGTTTTCATTGCTGACCATGTTCCAGGTGCCACTGAGGTCCACGGGCATGGCTGGGGAGCAGAGCGGAGCCAGCCGGCCGAGCGCGCGCGTGTATAAGCGAACTGAATGACACCGGCAGTGTGGGCTGCGGGTGGTTCAGCCCTATATGGGAGTGTGGCGGCGGGGGCGTTACGGGGAGGGAGGAACATCGACTGGGAGCCCCTGGGAACAGGTGGGCACGGTGAAAGAAAGTTGGAACTGGGGCAGAGCAAAGGAGAGGAAAGTTCAACTTGGCTGTGAGTGTAGTCACTAAGGAGTTTGGACATCCTAGGAGTTAAGACCACTTCTCCCTGGCCTCCTCCAGAAGGGAGCTTAGGACCCGCGATGGTGCCTGAAAGGAACACAGGTATCAGGAGCCCTGGATTTGAATCTCCCTTTTGCTACCTACGGTCTTTGTACAAATAATCCCTTCCCCTTTCCGGGCTTTAGTGTCCTCATCCGTATATAAAATGAGGGAGATAGACGAGATGGTCTCTAAAGTGGCTTCCAATTGGAATGTTGGTATGTTGGACAGAATGTTGGATTCAGAATCTGAGGAGCTTGGCTCCAATCTCCTCTGCCTCTATCGGAAGCACAGGTGGGTATCTGTGTGACCTTGGGCATTGCTGTAAATCAGACTTGTACCCTAGACCAGCACTATTGGAGGGGCCATAGAGATAGAATTCTAGTCTGATACTCCTCTTGGAGATATGTGAAGGAAGGAGAAAGCACCCAGCCCCTGCTCTTCTGCCCTCCCTCTCAGGAAAGAAATCTCAGTCTTCCTTAGAGAGGTGAGCCAGATTCCAGAGAGATCTACCATACCACCTGTGAGCTGTATAGTTTTTACGTTTAGGCAAGCCATGTGTGTATGTATATATGTATGTGTGTGTGTATGCATGTATATATAATATATATATACATACACATATCTTACATGGCTTATTTGCAATTCATTCAACAAGCACTGATTAAATACTTATGTTCCAGGCATGGTGCTAGGCCCTAGGGATGCAAAGAAAAATGAAACCATTTCTGCCCTCAGGGAGCTTACATTCTATTTATTCTATAAAACAACAGGCACATGGACAAGTAGACACAAGGCAATTTCCAGAGGGAGGGAACTAACAACTTAGGGAAATCAAGATAGCGTTCCTTTAGGATGTGTTTTTTTTTAATTTATTGAGGTCCTACTATGTGCAAAGCCCCATGTTAGGTTCTTTGATTGTTCAGTGAAAGGCTCTCTGAAATCTTGTGTAACAGTTGCTCTAACCTCACTCTCCCAGAGGGAGACTGGCTACATATTCCCATCAAGGCTCTAGGGGGTAGCCCTGTGGGGTTAGGAGTATCTTTCTCTAATGCTAGCGTACTTATTCCAATCACTATTAGCTGCCAGTGACCAGTGGCACAGTTCCATTTCGTCAATGAACAGAAATTACCTTTTCCACAGGGATGTTTACTTCTAAGATATAGCCAGAACAGAATAAGTACAAACATTTCTCTCCAACACCTCAGGGTCATACTCTTTCTTACGCCACTTCAGTCTCTGGGGAGAGTGTTCAGATTAAGTGCGGTTTCTATATAGTATTGGATCCACCAAGTTCACACCCGAGCATGGACTCTGAGATATCCTGGTGACTCTCTTGACTATTTTTTTTGTTTGTTTTTTGCTGAGGCAGTTGGGGTTAAGTGACTTGCCCAAGGTCACACAGCTAGTAAGTGTCAAGTATCTGAGGCTAGATTTGAACTCAAGTCCTCCTGACTCCAAGGTCAGAGCTCTTTCCACTGCACCACCTAGCTACCCCCAAGACCCAGATTCATGAGTCATATTTTTTTTGAAGTTTTATTTATATATTTTGGGTTTTTTTTTTATCATAATCATTTCCCAATGTCACCCATTGAATGTCTTCTGATAGGAAAGGGAAAAAAGTAAAACAAAATTGACCAATAAAGCAGTCACAAGTATCAGTGTATGTGACATTCAGAACCTTGCTTCCAATAAGATGATATTCATAAAATGCTTGGCGCAATGTCTGGCACAGAATAGGTGCTTAATAAATACCTACTTTCATAAAGACATTTGCCTTCCTTTAATTCTCCAGCGCCCCCCACATCTCCACAATTTTTTGAAGATCGATGACAGCAGTCATATTTGCCATCCATTTTAGTATCCTAAATCCAGTGATTTGAATTCCTTGGTAGTGAGACTCAGATTTGGAATATAATATTCTCTTGCTGCCCATTCCAATTTTTAAAGAATGACATCATTAAGGCAAGTAAAAAATTATTAACTTCTTTACTTTTGGCTGAAAGAGCTACATTAGGTGTCTGGATAATTGAAGTTTCCCATTACTATTATACTGGTGTCTCCATGCCAGACTTGAAATCTATTTTCTGAGCTACTCATCTATTTTCTTCTTTCTGTCCAAGCAGTCTGTATTATTCTTTTATATATATATATATATATATATATATATATATATATATATAAATTTATTTATTTTTAGTTTTCAACATTTACTTCCACAAGATTTTGAATTCCAAATTTTCAACCCATCTTGCCCCTCCCCCACCCCAAGATGGCATGCATTCTGAATACCCCTTCCCCTAGTCTGCTCTCCCTTCTATCTCTCTGCCCCCTTCTCTTATCCCCTTCCCCTCCTATTTTCCTGTAGGGCAGGATAGATTTCTGTACCTCATTTCCTGTATTTCTTATTTCCCAGTTGCATGTGGAAACATTTTTTTTAAACATGTGTTTTTAAAACTTTGGGTTCCAAATTTTCTCCCTTCCTCCCACCCACCCACCCTCATTGAAAAGGCAAGCAAGTCAATACAGGCCATACATGTGCAGTTATGCAAAACACTTCCATAGTAGACATGTTGTGACAAACTAACTCTATTTCCCTTAATCCTATCCTGCCCCCCCATTTATTCTCTTCTTTCTTTTGACCCTGTCCCTCCTCAGAAGTACTTCCTTCTGATTACCCCTTTCCCAATCTGCCCTTCTCTCTATCATCCCCTGCTCTCTTGTCCCTTCCTCCCCTATTTTCCTGTAGGGTAAGACAGATTTCCATACCCAATTGATGTGTATGTTATTCCCTCCTTAAGCCAAATCCTATGAGAATAAGATTCCCTCATTTCCTCTCACCTTCCCTGTTTCCCTCCACTGTAAGAACCTTTTCTTGTCTGTTTTTGTGAGATAATGTACCCCATTCTACCTCTCCCTTTCTCCTTCTCCTAGTATAATCCTCTCTCACCCCTTAATTTTATTCTCCAGATATCACCCTTTCATCTTCAACTCACCCTGTGCCCTCTATCTATCTATCTATCTATACATACATACATATAATTTTTTCCCCTCCCACTACCCTAATACTGACAAAGGTCTCATGAGTTATAAATATCATCTTTCCATGCAGGAATGTAAACAGTTCAGCCTTAATAAGTCTCTTATGATTTCTCTTTCCTGTTTACCTCTTCATGTTCCACTTGAGTCTTGTATTTGAAAGTCAAATTTTCTATTCAGCTCTGGTCTTTTCATCAAGAATGCTTGAAAGTCCTCTATTTCACTGAATGACCATTTTTTCCCCTGAAGGATTATACTCAGTTTTGCTGGGTAGGTGATTCTTGGTTGTAATCCTATCTCCTTTGCCCTCCAGGAATATTATATTCCATGCCCTGCAGTCCTTAATGTAGAAGCTGCTAAATCTTGTGTTATCCTGATTGTGTTTCCACCATACTTGAATTGTTTCTTTCTGGCTGCTTGCAATATTTTCTCCTTGACCTGGGAACTCTGGAATTTGGCTACAATATTCCTAGGAGTTTTCCTTTGGGGATCTCTTTCAGGGGAGATTGTGGATTCTTTCAATTTCTATTTTGCCCTCTGGTTCTAAAATATCAGGGCAGTTTTCCTTGATAATTTCTTGAAAGATGATGTCTAGGCTCTTTTTTTGATCATGGCTTTCAGATAGTCCAATAATTTTTAAATTCTCTCTCCTGGATCTATTTTCCAGGTCAGTTGTTTTTCCAATGAGATATTTCACATTGTTTTCTAATTTTTCATTCTTTTGGATTTGTTCTACTGCTGTGTCTGATTTCTCATAAAGTCACTATCCTCCAATTGCTCTATTCTAATTTTTAAGAAAGTGTTCTCTTCAGTAAGCTTTTGGACTTCCTTTTCCATTTGGCCAATTTTTCTTTTTAGGGCATTCTTCTCCTCATTGGCTTTTTGGTCCTCTTTTGCCATTTGGGTTAGGCTATTTTTTAAGGTGTTATTTTCTTCAGTATTTTTTTGGGTCTCCTTTAGCAAGCTGTTGACTTGTTTTTCATGATTTTCTTGCATCACTTTCATTTCTCTTCCCAGTTTTTCCTCTACTTCTCTTACTTGCTTCTCAAAATCCCTTTTGAGCTCTTCCAAGGCCTGGACGATTCATATTTTTCTTGGAGGCTTTGGATGTGGAGCTTTGACTTTGTTGTCTTCTTCTGGTTGTATGTTTTGATCTTCTTTGTCACCAAAGTAAGATAATATAGTCTGACTCTTTTTGAGGTTTGCTCATGATCCCGGTCAACTACTTGAGTTTCAAACTCTTTGTTAAGCGCATTCTCCAATGTGGAGAATGTACTGTCCCAAGCTTCGGGGGTTTGTGTAGCTGTTTTCAGAGATACTTGTAGGGACCTGTAAATTTTCAGTTCTTCCAAGGTGGTATGATAAGGGGCAAGGTGTTTACTCCTTTCCTGGCCTGAGCTCTGGTCTTTGAGTGACAGGCCACAAGCAGTCTTTTCTCTCTTGGCCTCTCCACCGTCACTACAAGCTCCACTGCCAGTGCTCCTCCTCACCCCAGGACCGCCACCCAGAACTGTGACCCAGATCCAAGCATGGGCAAAGCAAGAGATTCCTGCCTCAGCACTGGCAAAGAGATCCCTGCAGTCCCCCTCTGATCAGCCACTGGATTCCCCCTCAGTCTGTGGGCCAGAAGCTCAGGACATAGCCACTGCCTCAGCACCCACGCTCTTCGCTCTGGAACTGGCTCTGACCTAGCTCTTCTCTCACCGAAAAAACAGACTTTTCCCACTGACCTTCTAAGCTGTCTTTGGTGTTCGTGGATTGAGGTGTCTGGCAG